ACAAATAATCTGAACAAGAGAGATTTGAACCAATGGTACATATGTAATAGACAGATATCGACAGGACGTATTCACCGAGATAGTCGCCAATTAAATGAATTACCATTTACGAGGCCAAAGGGTTTCAGATCTACAAGTAGAAATGAAGCACATACCCCCCCCCCCCCCCCCCCCCCCCACACACACACACACACACACACACGGCTTACACTGCCCTCAGACACCATGGATTTACTGTCTAGCTAGGTTAATGTTACCACCAAATATCCCAACTGTTTAATCACGTCTGGACTTTGTCTTGATAAACCTTGTGAGTATGCTGTAAACGCCGAGGAAACAAACGGAATGTCTGGATGTACCGTGTGTATACCTTGACCTTGAACTTGACCTCTGAACCAGACCATACTTTGTCCTGTTATATATACACTTGTGTCTGTTAGGCTTGTGTTGTCTAGGGGTGTGTGTATTTGGTAACAACTAACATCTTTCAATTAACGATGTATGTTAATGAAGAGGGCGCGAAGTGGTTTCGTAAGTCATCGGGGCCGTCATGTAATTCCAGTTCAAACATTTTACATTTGTTTGTTTGTTTTGTTTGTTGTTGCGCCGCACTCATCAATATTCCAGCTATATGACGGCGGTCTGTAAGTAATCGAGTCTGGACCAGACAATCCAGTGATTGACTTCACCAGCATTTGGGATACGATGACATGCATCAACCAAGTCGGCGAACCTGACCACCCGATCCCGTTAGTCGCCTCTAACAACAAACATAGTCGCCTTTTACGTCAAGAACGGGTTGCTTAAGACCTATTCTAACCCGGATCTTCGCGGGTCGAAAATTTTACAATGTGAATGGAATATACTTTACTTCTATTCATGACCTGACTTTACTAGTATATCATCTTAAGCCGATGACTTGAATCGATGCTCATCCCATCGACCACTGGTTTTGTGCTCAAAACCAAACATTCTTTGCAGTCTGTTGAAATTTTATTTCCCGATGTTGTAAACTCGATTCAATCATGATATTCCACAGTGCATGTGCGCTATTGCAGTGAATGAACGAGTGAGTTCGGCCGCTTTGAACAGGTTTTCAGTTTTATCACAGCACGTCTCTTTGATGTGGGAGTAAAGCCAGAAAAGATGCAGGTCTCAGGTGTTTACCAGTGTGGTGAAACCTACGAGCATGGGTATGTTGCTGGCAAACCTACAAACATAATCAGGGCGAATCTGAGATTCGAACTCGCAATCATACGTTTCTCGTACTCTGCACTGCGAACTAGAGGCGAGCAATCTCATTAAAATCAGATCTTAGTTCTCGCTACCGCTAAACAAAGATCTGAGGACATCCCATTACGGGTCACGTCAGAACTACCTTTCGCGAATTTTGACCGACCGATGAAATGACTGACAAGAAGTCGACATCAGCAAATCAGAAGGCAGCTTTCTCGAGCTTTACGACACTAGTTTCAAACTGGCGACTACGCTTCGAAACATATTTTGACGTATTCTCGATTAAAAAGATTAAAACTGATAAGAAGAACATTCTGGAATTTCTTATAGATGGACTAGATTGTATGGACATAATCTTAAAACCCGTAACTGTCGTTCGGAATACCCCGTGTTAAATGTTTCGTGGTTGCATGATAAGAAAACACATTCCGACTGTCAATTTCATGATCTGGTAAGCGACGCTCTGATTGGTTGGATGAAAGGTCGTTCTGACGTGACCCTTATTGGGATGTCCTCAGATCTTAGTTTAGCATAGCGAGAACTAAGATCTGATTTTAATGAGATTGAGAGGCGAGTAGTGGGCCATCCGAGATCCCGGCAAATATTGCCAATTAAAGAGACTTGAGTTTTGATCGGACTGCAGGTTAGTGGTAAACATATAGCATCTTGAATAATATCTCACTTCCCATACAAACATCCCATTAACTAGACGATTATTGCATCTACGTACACTGCAAAATATACACACATGGCAGTCTAAACGTGCATCGCATGTCGTTTATTGATTCAGTTAATCAGGTACGTGCAATGTGCATTAGGAGAAATAAGAAAGTCTTTTGTATATACCCTGCTGTGTGTCAGCAGAGCAAGAGGTGAGCACCATCACGTTCTGAGCAACACGTGAGCTCCGAAGGTGTCGATTTATAAAAAAAATGATAACCGCTCGTTAAATAAGATCCTGCAGAGAACACGGTTGATGTAGAGCAGATTTCGGCTGCTGGTGATGTGAGTAAAGTAAACTTGCACAAGTCTCTAAAGCAATAACTATTTTTAAAATAATAATTTCTAGATTATGTAAATAATAACAAAAAGTTGTCCCTATAAGAGACTGGGGTCCTAACTGACCTCATATCTAGACTTGCCTCTTAGGAGGATAGAATTACTACACATCCATGGATTTTCTTTTAGTACAGCCTTGGAGCAAGGCTATGTGTAAAGCGCGAAGCTGGAATGCTGCGTTTGATCCATAGATCATCGCGTCGAATTAGATCGTTTTTAACATCCTGATAAGCTTTCTGATCAAGCACAAAGCAGCTCCCGGGGAAGTAACACATTCCAGACAAGGATGTAATATGCAGTTGCCAAAAATTTAGATGTGTGTTGTTAAATCGTTAACTTACACTGGACATCTTTCTCAGATTTTAAGTGTCTGGTTTTTTAAATTTCTGACTGTATGTTAATCAGTTAACGTTTAAGGTTGTAAACATATTACATCAGAAAACTGATGGCGTCTCAAATGGAAAATGAGGTGATGTACAAGGTTAGAAATTATTTTCCCAATAATTGTTCATGCATACCCGTGCAGATAGTGTGTTGTTGGGCGGCTCGACACATTTAGGCGGGGCATTTATGGTTTGGTTCTGTACATTGTGTCTCAATCAATGTAAACGTTACTGTAGAAATGCAAGAAATTATGAATGAAATTAGCGAGTTTACTGAAACTTAAATTGACTGATTAAATCGATATTAACTTATGTTACTACCAAACACAAAAGGTTTTGACGGAAATTCGTTCAGGCGCCGCAATGTGGAGTTACGTCCTTTAGTCGAGTCAAGATCCGCTGATCGACGAGTGTTCGAATTCCTGTTTCGGTCCGATTATAATCCCTGGTTTGTGAGAAACAAACAGGTGTTCGTTGGTTTCCCCTTAGCGGTAGATTTCCACGAGGGAGTGCATCACTTCCTACATTAAGCTGTCTCGACGCGATATAACATCCTTTCCACGCCCACTGTCTTCATATAAATGTATTTTTCTGCCTTTTTTATACCAACATGTACCCACCTTCAGTCGTATACGCGTTTCAAGAATTTCAGAACAGTGCAATCGATATGAAGTGATTCCATGTTATCTGCGTCCATCTCTATCCTTACAGACATACATGTAATGATCACTGCGTATATCTTGTTATGCAACTCGCGGCTCTACACACCCTGATGGTAAACACACAGACATACGTTTTGCAATGCAATCCTAATGATGCCATGTAAACTGTCTTGTGTAAGAACGCGTTTGTTATTTTACTCCAAGCCCAGGAAGATGAGATAATTGTAGGAGGAGTGCAACCTGTTTTGCTTGAAGGGAAGCTAAGAAAGCAGGTGCTCTATCCTCAGTCGCGTAACACTCTCTGGTTGTTATTTCTTTAACAGAGGTGTGCAGCAAGGAGACGATAACCTACCTTGGCTCTTACTGCTTGGAAATTGCGTGTATGGAGAACTGTTGATGCTTTTATAGTTTGCATGTTTGCATCATGTGATAAGTAAATTACCATAAGAGAATATACAGTAAACTACATTTATAACGAACACGCTTATAACGAACTGACTTTTTTGGTCCCGGCATTTTGCTGCATATATTCTGTATACATGATGAAGTTTGCTGTGTGTTTATTGTTGTCTTATAGGAAGGAAAATAGGTTATGATTGCTATGTTTTGCAATTCGTGTGCACTGGGGAATTTAATGATATTTATTGGTCATGTTTTTGGTTTACGGAATTTGTTACCTATGAAAGTGATTTTTTTTCAAAATATAGTTAACTACGTTTGTAATGAACACGCTTAAAACGAACTGACGAATATAACGAAATGACCTTTTTGGTCCCGGCAATTTGCTGCATATATACTGTATACATGCTTATTACGACTACGGTTATAATGAACTAGAATTAGAGCTCCCTTTGAGTTCGTTATAACCGTAGTTTACTGTAAAGGCAAGGGGGCCAAAATTCTCAGAAATTGGAGGTCATTTGCTAGAGTCCCGAGGCTATTGACAAATGCACAAAATATATTCTTTTCTTTATTTTACATCAAAGGTAATAATTTAGATTATAAAATTGTGGTGAAATGCGTTATGTTTCAGATCAAAGATTTAGATCCAGATTAATTTGGTACTGGTTTGTTTGTCTTTCTTTGTCTTGCAAGTAAACTGGAAAAAGATAGCAGTTTCAAAATATTAATTTTATTATGAACATAACATGACGTTTTATTTGAAGATACATGCCGGTATAGATGAATCGTTTTAGAACATTCGCGCAACGCATTTACATCTACCTGCACAGGTTTGTTCATCTGTGATCAGAGGTGAGGTGAGGTGGGGTTTAACGTCGCGTCCAAGATTATTGCACTTATATAGCAGCGTGCATGTACGTGTGTGTGTGGCTGCTTGTACTAGTCCGGACTGATGCCGATTTATAGTGCTAGCTCACTGAGATACCATGCCGCAGTTTAACATGAATACCCCACTCAGACACAGTATACTGACTCCGAGCCGACCAGTCCTTGTTTTAGCCCCTTAATGCCGAGCGCCAGACAGGCCAACAACAAGTACCATCTTTTAACGTCTTTTGGTATGACGCGGCTGGGGATCGAACCCCGGACCTTCCGCTCTCCGGGCGGATGCTCTACCACATGACCACGGAGGCGGTCTATCTGTCATCTTATATGCCATGGCTCAGCTCAAAATTAATGTGAACATTCCTTCTTTCAGAATCATCAGTACAAGTAGGACTTGGTTGCAAAGAATGTCAAGGTAAGATCCTTACAATACAATCGTATCAATACTAATTTTCAATATTAAACTTTAAAAGGCGTTCCTTTACACGTTCCTAGAATTTAACATGTATTGACGTTTCTGTTTCCCGAAAAAGATCCAAAGAACCCCTTTATCATCTAGCCCCTCCCCTCGCTGAAATGAGTCACAGGTAAAGTTCTCACGGTCAAGGTGTTTACCTGTAGCGCGGCCCCTGTCTCTGTGACGATGTCAATCAAAGGTATTGAAACTAACATCCCTTGAAATATATCCCCGCATCATAAAAACTGTCCACACTATCTGCACCTTTCAAGTGCCTTTTGAATGTGATGAAAGGGGTGAAAATAAAATCGTTCAAGGTATATGTACTTTAGTAACCAGATTCGAAGTATTTAAACTTTTCAACCAACTGTATCCAGTTTCATTTGAACATGGGAATAGCTTATTCATTGCGTTGGGCGCTTAGGAGTTCGTGCTTGGTTACGATGGCATAAAGGAGACTTGTCAGTCATGTATCATAGCTGAATAATGACGTGTTTTAAAAATGGTATCAAAACAACTAATTTTTTTTTCTTTTCAACTTTCTATCATTCCCGAAGAGAGTGATACTATAATACATGGAGATTTGTGTATGGGTGCAGGGATGGTGGGTGCAGGGGTGGTGGGTGCAGGTGTGTAGGGTGCAGGGATTGTGGGTGCAGGGGTGGTGGTGCAGGGGTGGTGGGTGCAGGGGTGTAGGGTGCAGTGGTGTAGGGTGCAGGGGTGGTGGGTGCAGGGGTGGTGGGTGCAGGGGTGTAGGGTGCAGTGGTGTAGGGTGCAGGGGTGGTGGGTGCAGGGGTGGTGGGTGCAGGGGTGGTGGGTGCAGGGATTGTGGGTGCAGGGGTGGTGGTGCAGGGGTGGTGGGTGCAGGGGTGGTGGGTGCAGGGGTGGTGGGTGCAGGAGTGGTGGGTGCAGGGGTGGTGGTGCAGGGGTGGTGGGTGCAGGGATTGTGGGTGCAGGGGTGGTGGTGCAGGGGTGGTGGGTGCAGGGGTGGTGGGTGCAGGGGTGGTGGGTGCAGGGATTGTGGGTGCAGGGGTGGTGGTGCAGGGGTGGTGGGTGCAGGGGTGGTGGTGCAGGGGTGGTGGTGCAGGGATTGTGGGTGCAGGGGTGGTGGTGCAGGGGTGGTGGGTGCAGGGGTGGTGGTGCAGGGGTGGTGGGTGCAGGGGTGGTGGGTGCAGGGGTGGTGGTGCAGGGATTGTGGGTGCAGGGGTGGTGGTGCAGGGGTGGTGGGTGCAGGGGTGGTGGTGCAGGGGTGGTGGTGCAGGGGTGGTGGGTGCAGGGGTGGTGGGTGCAGGGGTGGTGGTGCAGGGATTGTGGGTGCAGGGGTGGTGGTGCAGGGGTGGTGGTGCAGGGGTGGTGGTGCAGGGGTGGTGGTGCAGGGGTGGTGGGTGCAGGGGTGGTGGGTGCAGGGGTGGTGGTGAAGGGATTGTGGGTATTGTGGGTGCAGGGGTGGTGGTGAAGGGATTGTGGGTGCAGGGGTGGTGGTGAAGGGATTGTGGGTATTGTGGGTGCAGGGGTGGTTGTGCAGGGGTGGTGGGTGCAGGGGTGTAGGGTGCAGGGGTGGTGGCGGCAGGGGTGTAAGGGGGAGGGGTGGTGGGTGCAGGGGTGTAGGGTGCAGGGGTGGTGGGTGTAGGGGTGTCCTCATAATTTACTTGATTTCGTTTTCACAAACCATTTTGTGCAAAGTCATGTTGACATCATTTGATTTTGGACCACCATTACGCTTGCCGCCTTGTTTTGTGTGAATGTAAACATAATACACTCATCTCTGTCCTGTTATCAAGCAATGACTGCAAATGGCGCATTACCCTGTCAGAGTACGTAAGTTATTGTGGATAATTAAGGGAAAAGTACAGCAGTTGGTAGAGATGTAGAGCCGTTCCCTGCAATTGTGTCATTCAGGGGCGCTGTAGGCAGTCACTGCCGTCGTTGACAGGTTAGTATTTTGTTTGGCAGAAGTTGTTTGATCAAGGTTACAACATTCAAGGCCTCGGTAAAGCTTTCAAAAAGTTTTATGGTAGACATGTGGAGGACATTTCCAAATTTGACGCATCGGTGACAAAAATGTCTATTTTGACTTGTACCATATGTTCCCGTGTTTTGTCAGGTGAATAGTTGACGTGCCTTTGCATGTGTTTGTAACGGGTGGCATCTTTGAATCAGGATATGCCCACCTTTATTTATCACCATTATTTGATTGTGATTCATAAACACATGCTCATTATATAGTCAGAGATTTCTACTGAAAAGTGTTTTGTCGCTTTTATTGCAAATAGAATACATTTTAATCATGGATTTGTCACAATAACTTGTTTGTAGAGCCGAAACTAGCAATGTTTTCTTATGAACATTTTCCATCATATGTTTCACTGTTCCATATTATCAGCATGCAAAATGACATAGAACGAGTATCTTGTATCGCGTTCAGTTGTGTATCGTCGTCCGCACGCAGAGATGTCATGTGAGCACATGAGAACGTGACGTGACGAATGATGGCCCACCCGTGTCAATAGAGACCATGTGTTGGGTGGGACAGTTTAAGCAAACGGGTGGGAGGGCGGCCTAGCGGGTATGCATCGTCCTCCAGCACAGCATTAAGCTATTACTATTTCCGGATACAAATATTTATGAATATCCTCAATGTTCACATAGGACCGTATGAAATCACGATATATTTACCTAAAAGCTTAGACAATAAAGCAAACTTGAAATCAGGAGGTTTTATAGTATAATGTTTTGAACATGTCTATTATATGGTCTCTGGTAGTTGATGCTGTTTAAGTTAACATGAGATCTATTTAAGTGTATTACTTCTCTTTTTATTTAATTAGTAACCGAATACATTGAAACACTGAATCCCCCTGAAATTAGCCGTTTTAAGAAATGTCGGATTGTTGAAAGCATTGTGACAGAATAATGTCCCTTTGTATGTAGAAGTGTTTCCAGCGGTAATCGGGTGGAAGGTGGGTTTTCCGGGTAAGTGGAGCCTGGACTAACAGTGTTTCACGGTTTACTTGATAACAATAATAAACAATTGGCGATTTCAATTTCAGTATCAATTTAATCGTAGATCACGACTATTTGCACAGCATGAACAGGTTCGGGTGACCGTAAGATCAACACCTCGTTGAACTGACGTGAACAAATGAGAAAATATGAGATGGTACCAGAGTGCATAGAAACCAGCAGTTTCATTCACGAAACGACAAAAGGAACCGTTTAATATACACGTTTATATATGCCACAAAGCATCAGAACAATCAGAGCAGATAAAGGTCAATTATAGCAGAGAAACATATGGAACACACCGCCATGCAGTGGGACGATTATTCCCGACTGTTTAATGTGATGTTGACCAAGGGAAATCGGCAACACCTTTTTTTATTGTAATATAGATGAATAGTAACCGGGTAGAAAGTTCACCTTGTCGAACACAGGTACTCATGCGAACGCCATTTATTTCTGTGCATGTGTGTATGTGGTGATATCCTCGGTGCCCTCATGGACAACGGAAAGGATATTGAGGATGTAACTGCCATGTTAGAAAGGTTAGTAAGTCTAGATGATGTTTGCTGTATGTAACATGTTGACTCGCTGTGGAAAAAAACTCGTCATATTTGACGACGGGATATGAATGGGAGGGTAAATATGTATCACTGTGCTGTTGTATGTTGTTTCGTGAGGTAAAATGATAAATGTATAGTATTGAATGGAATGAGTTACGTGACGAGTTTTGTATTATATGTCACTTTAATGAATATTAATTCTATGCAATAATAAATGGATCCAATACACATTAGGATACATGTCAACGCAATGGTACAAAAATATAATCAATATTGGTAGATATCCTTACTTGAGCACTGGCAACTAATATAAATCTTGACATATGATATAGCTTCTCACTTGATACATCAATATTGGTATTTATGTCAATACAATGGTTCAAAAATATAATCAATATTGGTAGATATCAACACTTAGGTACTGGCAACTAATATAAATTTTGACATAAAATATAGCTTCTCACTTGATATATCAATATTGGTATTTATGTCAACACAATGGTTCAAAAATATAATCAATATTGGTAGATATCAACACTTAGGTACTGGCAACTAATATAAATTTTGACATATAATATAGCTTCTCACTTGATATATCAATATTGGTATTTATGTTAACACAATGGCACTGGCAACTTAAAATGCATCAGTCAGGATTTCAGATCGGTTCATTGTCTTGGACATTGACGGAATGTCATCCGAAATATCGGAAATTGTACAAACTTGGTTATGATATACTAGAGGAATGCCACATCAACAGTTGAAGAAATCATGGACATATCCTCTGCCATTGGGTCTAACAAAATCACTATCTCTTCTCTGTGGTTGGCCAAAGATAAAAAAAAATATAAGTGATATCAAGATAAGGAAGTTGCATAATGTGGTGTAAGACACAGGGATGTGGAATGAACTAGGATCTGAATTAAGGTTGTACATTCATGTCACCCCGACCCCTCAGTAGCTTTGAGGTAATGTTGTACAGCCTTTCAGATGTGTTTGAAATACAGCAGAATGTATATTGAATCACATTCTTCATTCTGAATCATCATATTGACTTCGCCCGGTCCCTGTCTAAATGAGACCGGGTATTTGAAATGCTTTGAACAAGCCATCTTAGAACCTCCTCTCCACAGATTATTTTGGTTGGAAACGTGTTTATGTTCTCATTGAATGTAAATACTAGACAAACATAGAGTCCCCCAAAATAAAGCTATGTCTAAGGTTTAATATAATAATATTATTGTAAGGTATAATGTCCCTTAATTACTTTGAGTGAGTGAGTGAGTGAGTATGGTTTTACGCCGCTTTTAGCAATATTCCAGCAATACCACGGCGGGGGACACCAGAAATGGGCTTCACACATTGTACCCATGTCGGGAATCGAACCCGGGTCTT